TACATGATTGGTGTAAAGGTTAGCCAGAGACTTTAGCAGAATTTTCACGTACAACTGGGAGCACATTTTCACGACTCTTTTCTTACTGGGATTTTTCTCTCACTGTTCAGTAGGTGTGCTTTCCCAGTCTCTGTTCTCTGGTTCTTCAGGCTGGAAAGGTGATGATTTCCTTTGAAATTTTAGCTGCTTCCTGTTGTACCCCTGTGAATCACACCTAAGGTTAAAGCTGAAAAACTGAAAACTCACTCTGTATAGGTCCCTTCTTTCATATTTTGACTTCCCTATGAAAAATATGGCTTCTTTTTGGTTCACTTTCTGGAGGCTCTTGAAAGATTTTTTAAAAACATTTCTTCTCCAGAGTTTATAGTCAATTACTGAATGGTCAGTCTGTTACGAATTTAATTTTTCTGTGCCAGAAATGAAACTCTGAATATTTTAAGTTTTTATACATACATCTCAAACTATTTGAAATACTCTAAAAATCCTAGACTTACGGGACCTGAACTTTATGGCTTATTATGTAGTCATTAAAAGCAATTAAGACCAAGTAGAAATGAACAAGCATATTTATGATTAAGTGAAATTGGCATGATATAAAATCATGTCTCCACTTTGATTACAGCAGTGTAAAAATTTGAGAATACATATGAAGAAGAATTGGAAGGAAACTTTGAAAAACATACAAATCTTATTAACAGAGTTTCTTTGTCTTTTCAAAAAAGCAACTTTGTTATTCGTGCAATAAATTTTGGTACTGTGAATAATAATTCAGGGAGAAATATTTTCTCTCAACCTTCAAGTTAATTTTTCATGTTGCTGATTGTTCTGCTTGCCAACCAGAAGCATTTTCATTTACTATATTCCCACCTATTTATTTTCACTTTTGCTATCTGAGCTTTTGATGTCATGTCCAAAAAAAATTGCCAACGTCAATGGCAAGTTTTCCTCTGGGATTTTTACGATCTCAAGTCTTGCATTTAAATTTTTAATTCATTTTGTATTGATTTTTGTATGGTGGATGTGGAGGACCTGGTTTTATTCCTTTTCACATGGATGCTGTTCTCCCAACACCACATATTGAAGAGACCATCCTTTCCTCTTGGTGTGTTGTTACTGTTCTTCTCATTAAGTACTTGGTCTCAAGTGCTTGGGTGTTCTCTCTTCTATTCCATTGATCTCCAGGTCTCTTTTTATGTCCCTAATATACTATATTTTGACTACTATAGTTTCATAATATAATTTGAAACTAGGAAGTGAGATGTCAGCAACTTTGTTCTTTTTCAAGTTTACTTTGGTTACTTGGTGTCTTTTTTGGATCCATATAAATTTTGAAAATGTTTTTCCATTTCTGTGAAAAAAAACATCCTTGGAATTTTGATAGGGATTGCATTGAGCCTGCATATCACTTTGGGTAGTATGAACATTTTAGCAATATGAATTCTTCCAATCCAAAAGCATGCAATATCTTCCTATGTATTTTTTTTTTCTTTTCACTTTTTTTTGTCAGTAACTTACAATTTCTAGTGTACTTCATGTCCTTTACCTATTTGGTTGTATTTATTCCCAAGTGTTTTATTCCTTTTGATGCTATTGTGACAGGGATTATTTTCTTTTTTATGTCGTTCATTCTTGGTGTGAAGTCTCCCTACTGATTTTTGTACGTTGATTTTCTATTATGCTATTTTACTAAATTCTTTTATGAGTTTTACAGTTTTTTGCGGGGAGGATGGATTCTAGTGTTTTCTACTTGGGGGACCATGTTACCTGCAAACAAGAAAGTTTTCATATCTGCCTTTCCATCTTGATGTCAGCTGTCAATTTTTTTTTTTTTGCTTGATTGCTCTTGAAATTAGATTCAGATACTCTACTGAGTTCGAACAGAAAAGGGAGATAAAAAAAGGGATTGATAGATGACAGTGCATTGAGGCTTCCAGAGGAGGGGTGGAGAAACAGCAGCCAGGTTTGGAATCCGCACGCACTGTGGCTTGGAACACATCCTCTTCTCTCTGAGAGCCTTTGCCTCTGCCCTTATGGGAAATGGAGCTTCCTGCTTTAAAGACTAGTAGCTCAGAGCAAATCCAAAAGTCATAGACTTCAAATGGCCCTGAGAAAACATGGTGATAAGTTTGGGGAAGTGAATCAGAAACATATGGATTAGATTTTGTGTGAAATCATGTACAGACTTTTATAGACAGAGAACATTCTCAAGAGAACAAGCACGTTTTGACATTCCTTACCCAAATCTCAAACATTTGACAGATGCTTGTGAGTAATTTCTTTAAAAAGAAAAAAAGCAAAACAAATAAAAAGAAATTTTTGATTTTCAGAAACTTGGAAAGTATGCTGTCCCCAACCATTCTCTTTCTTTATATAGTAGGGCATGTTCCTGTTCCTGGTATAATACTCTCTCACAGAAGAGGTCAAATGGAAAAAAGAAAGAAAAAAAGAAAGAAAGAAAGAAAGAAAGAAAGAAAGAAAGAAAGAAAGAAAGAAAGAAAGAAAGGAAGGAAGGAAGGAAGGATAAATATGGCCTGCATTCAAGATATTTCTTCTGCCATTTACCACCTTTGAGAACTGATTAATTACCTCACGTTTAGTTTCTTCCAATTTTTAATGGGGATGTAATATCTTCTCTGCAGTGTTGCAGATGAGGGACAATACCTACAATGTCACTGTATAAAACTTATGGCCCATAGGCCATGGTTAACCCTTGATAAGGCCCTGACAATTGTTACTATATTGTCACATAAATCTGTTTTTTCTTATTCCCTGAATACATAATACCTTTTAAATCAAATTACTATTTAATTAATGTTTGCATTAGACAAAAGGAGAAGCTCATAATTGAAGTAATTGGTAAGCTCATAATTGAAGTAATAGGTATTTGGTTAAGTGTGCTGTTTTTAAAAGTCATCAGAACTCAATTCAAATTCTGTTTCTACTTATTAGCTATATAACTTTGCAAAGGGAATTAACTTCTTTAAGCTTCATTTTTTTTTCATTTGAAATGAGAATGATAGTGACACTCACTTCTTAGTGTTATGAAGATGAAATAAAACAGTGAGTATGATCTGCTTGACACGGCACCTGTATGTGATAATGCTAAAAAATGGCAACTACCATCATTATCTCCATCATCAACATCATCATCACCATCCTTATCTCCTTCACCATCATCACCAACAAATATTCTTTTGTTATGATTTAGATGTGGAGTCCCCCAAAATCTCATGTGTGAGAAAATGCTAGAAGGTTTGGAGGAGAAATGATTGTCTTAGCCCAATCAGTGATTTAATCCCTGATGGGATGAACTGAAGTGGTACCGTGTGGCTGGAGGAGGTGGGAATTGGGGCTTGGCTTTGGGTATATATTTGTATCTGGCGAGTGGAGTCTGTCCCTCTGCTTTCTGATCATCATGTGAGCTCCTTCCCTCCAACACCCTCTCTCACCAGGATGTTCAGCATTACTTTGAGCCCTGAGGAATGGAGCCACCCTTCTATGGACTAAAGCCTCTGAAACCGTGAGCCCTTGAATAAAATTTTCCTCCTCTACAAGTTGTTCTGGTCAGATCCTTTAGTCACAGCAGCAAAATAGCTGACTAAAACATCTTTCTTCCTTCTTTTCCCAGTGTTAGCTACCCCAATCCACTTAGGTAACAAAAATCCCCATCTAAAATAAAATATTACTTACACAAATGCTGAGGGCTTTGCTGCTGCTTGTCTGCTCTTCTTAGGTTGGCTCTACTCAGTATTACTTTCCAAATTTACCCCCAGGAAGTATTTGAGACTTTTCCCATGTTTTCCCTGAAAAGATGGTGCCTAAGCATAGATGCATCACAATTGAATTCATTAGTGTCACGGAATGGCAAAACGTTGATGTCATAGCAAATGCCCAACGGATGAGCCAGTTTCATTGTGCTTAACTTGAAGCCTAGAATTCTGAGCCACGGTTCAACAAAAGGAGCGGGAGACTAAACTTACACAATGAAAATTGCTTTGTCTTTTTAAAGGAGCAGTTTTCAAAAGTGAGTGTCGAATGAACATGTGATAGAACAATTTACATACACTCGGAAAGTGTCTTTTTAATCTTATACTTTAAAAAGACTTATTTAGAATTATGACTTGACATCCTCTTAGTTCATGGGATGCAAATCTGCCGCATATATTTTCAACACTCTTTTCTAAAATTTTTTAAGGTTGTGCTAACATTTTTGGTTGTGAAAATTTGTATTTTTCTGTTGCCTTCATTTCCATCTTGTGGTTTGTCTATTTTAATAAATGGCCTCACATTTAAAAATTGTAAAAAAAAAAAATCTACCAATTTAGAAAAAAAAAGAGAAAGAAAAGAGCTAGGGATGGAGACTTCGGGGACTAATTTGCTTTCTGCATCTCCTTGAGAGAAGTCCATTGCAAGCAGTCCTGGCAGATGAGCACTGGAAGTCACCTTGGAATCGATTTTTTAGCACGTGTTTATGGCGTACCCGCTTTGAGCCCAACATTGTGATAAATGCAAGGAATAAAAATAAAATGTACAAAATACAATCCTTGATTTTAGGAAGCTCACAATCCAGGTAGAGTATTAAAGGCTACTAAAATGCAAAATTTACCAATAAAGTAATATCTTAGACAGGGGATATTCATTGACTTGGTCTAGGGAATAAAGGAGAGGAGGCACTAATGGTGCTTTACATAAGCTATCTCATTTAATTCTTACAACATCCTGTGACACATGCACCTTATTGTCTCCATTTAACAGAATAAGAAACTGAGGCCCAGAGAGGTTAAATGATCTCTTCTACTAACAACAAAGAAAAATGGTGACCAACTCCATGATTGTGCTGTCAGAGTTGGACAGAAATGATTCTTCTGGTTTAGAGGGAGCAAGTGAGAGGGGAAAACAAGAGGGCATGTTTTTCCATCTGTACAATGGGTTGTAGTAACTATGGAGCAAGGTGCAAAGGGAGGCATTTTTTTTTTCTACAAACAGAACATTATGAAGATGATACAATTCACACTCAGTTTTGATCTCTAAGTTCTTCCTCTTCTCTGATAACTCCCCTAAATCAAATCAGCCTCTGAAACAGTGCTCTGGATGTACTAAAACATCATTGCACCTCACATGATAAAACACCATCCAGTTTACGTGCAGATCATTTTTCCAATAACATTATAGTGACAAAAATCAACAAGTTTCTTGTCAGAACATCTTAGTCATTAAAAATGCATTAACAGCTCATTATTCAAGATGCTGTACTAATTTTACTCATTTCCTATTGAAGCTTATTAAATACTAAGAGCCTAATCAACCAGAAGTAGTGTTCAGTGGCCACAAAGACTACGCTCCATTAAAGAAAAAAAAATCATCGTGACAAAAGTGGTAATTATAATACATTGTATTTGTTTGGCAGTGAGCTCTTCTAATGGGATGGCTTTGGGGTTTGTGTAGAGGAGAGCTGAGGATGCAGTTTATTCAAAAGTAAAATTAAGGGGGTGTTTGAGAGAGAGAGTTTTTGTTAGCAAGCAGTGAAGTCTTAAAGGCTTCTCAGAATTCTCCAGAAAACCGAGACTGCTCAAATGCTAAAAGTACTTTTGCAGTGGATTTTTAAAAACCAAGTGAATATCTGCATATCTAGATTATCAGAACCAGCTCTGAGCCACCTCATAACCAGAATTCTCTTATCTGCTACTCATTAGCTGTGTGACTTTGGACATTCTTAACATTTTATTTGACCCTGGCTTTGACTATCTTTTAAATATCATCAGGTATCATATCTACATAACATATCACAGGCTGCCTGGGTTTTACTAAGACGTAGGAGTATTGTGTGTGGATCATAGATAGGCACATGGCAGGCCCTCAACCAATGGGGGACCGTTTCTGCTCCATTAGGTGATGTACTTAGAAGGCAGGGATAGTATCTTATTCAATTTTGTACCCATGGCCACCAGCACCATGCATATGACAGATATTCAGGATATGCTTATTATCCTAAACTGTAGTCCCAAACCTGGAACGAGGTCTGGTCTTTACGACCTTGCCGTGCATCATAGCATTGTGTTTTCTGTGGGTATCAAATAAATATTTGCTCTTCACTAATCAACTAGAATGTATTGACTATTGACATGATCCTCAGCTCTGTCTCACCCCTAAGGATCCTAAACTAAATCTGAGAGAAGCAAGGTTTATACATATGAAATAATGGGAGAACTCAGCTTTGGATAGAATTCCATTTTTCTTCTCTGCTCAGCATTTTGTTTGCCCGTTTTCAGGCAACAGTTCCTAGTTTTCCTTGGTGGAATTGCCACTCTACCCTCCATGCTCTAAGGAGCTGTTTGGCATTCTCTAGCAGGAAAAAAAAATGCCGTTAAAGTCATCTACTGTCATCCCCATGACTTGGGAAGCTGGGGCAGGAAGATTACAAGTTTGAGGCCACCTTCAGCAACTTAGGGAGGACCTAAGCAACTTGGAAAGATCCTGCTTCAAATAAAATAAAATAAATAAAGGAGGAATAAAGGAGGGGAGACATTAATGGTGCTTTTCATGAGCTATCTCATTTAATTCTTAAAACATCCTGTGACAACATCCTGGAGTGCATACTAAACCACAGCCCGGTTCAGTACACACCCCAGGGCTCAATTTCCAGTACCTCTGTCCCTGAGCAAAAAAAAAAAAAAAAAAAAAAGTATTCATCATTGTAGTCATTTCTGCACTGTGACCACATGGAGCTACTTTGGTAGCCATGTGACCCAGACCTCATCAATTGGAGAATCACATTTCTGTGGCTAGAGTGATCAGTTCAGAGATGGGCATAATGTTATCAAAAGCTTGCCACAAAGGTGCTTTCTGAATTGAATACTTCCAGAGGTTACTCTTTTAAACTTGGAAAATATATCCCCTGCAGACTATACCAGGAGACAATGAGTTGTGGGATATTCAGAGAACACAGCTTCTTAAGATGACTCAGCTCCCCACGGAAGAAGCTTTTGGGGTGGTGGTGATGGAATTGGCCCTGTCAGGCACGAGGTGCTACCAGGACTCCGGAAGCTCACAGTAAGACATTCTACTCCACAATCCAGCATGATGGTAGGAAAAACTGACTTGAGTGATTCTTGTCAGTGTTTTTGTACACCATGAACACCATCCACACATTGTCCATAAGCCACATAATAAGAACCAAGTGTCCCTATGCTGGCACTGCAGCTGTCTGATGATGACAGTTATCTCTGGGTCCAGGAGGAGGTGAGCAGCCCTGGCCTACAGCAGGCATGTGACCCAGTCAGAGCAAATGACTCTTCCTACTGGGGGAATTCTGAAGAGCTGCTGGGAGGACTCTGTCTTCAGCTGATGCTAAGAGGTCTTTCTGCCCCGATCTGCTCAAGCCTTTTTGCTCTCTAGAGTTAGAGACTGCCTGGGAGAGGAGCCCCAGAGAGAAATGGGGAAAATCATGACTTCATGCTGCCATTTGAGCCCTGGCACCCAAGTCATGGCCGAAGAGTGATATACTCCTGAAATTTTCTGATTTGCAGCTAACAAAATCCCCCTTATTCCTTTTGCTTGAGACAATTTAAATTGTAAATTGTCCCTTGCAAAATAGAACACAAACAAATACGTGACTCAGATTACAAATGGGGTGATTTGAGTAAACCAAGCAGAAATTATCTCTCCAGTTACTAGGATGACTTCTTGAAGACCATGGAAGAGAGACTGATCTTTATAAATTGGAGAATATTTGGATTGATACCAAAGAGAGGACTGCTGGAATCAATTAATGAAAACAACATGGGCAATGATAAATGAAGAAAGGAAATGTAGAAATAGTCTGATGTGACAGAGGGCCATCTAGAGAGGGTCAGAGTCCATTCTTTGTTCCACCTCCAACCAACCATGTGACGAAGATTACTTTTTCCTTTGGGGGACTCGTCTTCCCCCGTGTCAATGCACAAAACTGAGCTCAAAGTTCTCTAAGATTCTCTCCTCTAAGAATCTATGGAATCTTGAAAGAATGCTCCTTGTCCTATGGATATAAACATCTCCATAGTTACTTATCTGCTCTCGAAATATAGATTCTCATCCATTTTTCATGTCCCTGCCCCCGATTTCTTATTCACTTGACAAAGAGCAATCGCTTTTCCTCCTGTTCTGAATGAAAGGGAAATGGACAGGCTACATTCACTTAAAACTTGTGACTTTGAAGCTTTGAAAGCCCTTGATTGTGCCCTGAAAAAGCTCATCTCTGAGTGAGGGCAGAGAAAAACAGCAGGGAGGGGCCACGTGGTTAATTGCACTTCCTTGGAGATTAAAAAGCAAGGGAGGAATATTGCAGGCATTTTGCTCTTTCTGAATCCTTTTCCTCTGCCCTCTTCCCTTTCAGTGGGAAAGGTTTGGGCACTCAGGTCTAAATTGAGATTCAAGATGTATTGTATGCAAATCCGATACTGAATTAGCCCTGTAAGGCAGCCCATAGCATTTGCTGAAGTAGCATTACATATGCCCCAAAGAACTATTTTCCTATTCATAATCCAGTGAAAACTGAACTCTGAATCTCACCTGGGCTCATGTCCCCAGTTGGAATGTGTTTTGGGGTTACAATCATTGCAGAAGGACTTGGAAAACTAATTGGAAATGTGCACTTTGAGCTTAAATGAGAGACTTAGGAATATATTTCTGAATTCCAAGTCCCCAAGTCATCACTATCTGACATGACTATACAAATTTATTTGCTTATATACTGTCTGTCACCACCTTGGAGGGAGGGACTTCATCTTATTTATTGCTGAATAGACAGCCTGGCATAGAGTAATTGATCAATAAATGTTAATTGAATGA